CTGCTGAACATAGTTTTCTGTAAAAGTACACCTGAAGTGTATGATGACCCAAAATAAGCCAGGAGTTTTATTTATTTTTAAATTGTCCTACATCCACACTGTCAGAACAGAGAAAGCTACAATACCTTCCCAATAATATCAGGAAGCCTGAAAAGGAATATCCACACAGTGGGAAGCAGGACAACCTAATCCTACCTTCCCCACACCAGGGAGATCACTGTCCAGCCACAGCAATCCATCTGCTTGCCACCTTCTCATTAAATTTTTCAAATTCCTTGTCTCTGAAGCTAAGTGTGACAACAGTGCAGCTTCCCATCAGATCATTTCATTGGCTTAGTTCTGCTTCAGCTGTTCATTTCAGGCTTTGCTCCCAAGCTTCAAAGCCATTAGTGGCTCAGAGCCCAAAGTAGTATGTGGACTGCCAAAGCAGCTAGTTGTCCTGGAAAAGTTTAAGAGGCAGCAAGAGCAGAAGAGACAGATGTATACAGAAATCTCATAAAAACACAAGTGCTGGTAGAGACAAACGCATTAGGTGAGAGCTGGACAAGCACTCTAGCTTTGGAGTAACAAGAAAACTGTACTTTTATCTCTAAGGAAGTAATGAAGATGAAGAAACAGCAGAAACTGATGGAAGCACAAAAAGGTTTAGGTTAATATTTTGCCAATGTCAAACACGAAAATACTTTTACTGGTACAGTACACGCACACGTGGTGTTAGGTTGCAGACAGACAAGAAAAATTCACTATCAGAAGGAAATATTGGCTGAACCATGCAATAGGAACCCTGTAATACAGTAACACTACAGAGCACCTTATTGAGGATTAAGTTCTGACAGAGTTAAACAGAAGTGCTGCCCCGTTTTCTGAAGTATTTATCAGAACAGGATTCTGTTCCCAGGTCCAAGTCTTAGCAGGGACAGTTTTACACTTAAATTTGCTCCTTCTAAGCAGCAATAAGAGTATGAACTTGACAAAAAAAAGACAAAAAAAAAAAAAAAGAGATTTCTAATTCATTGGGAGAATACACTCCTGTAATAGCAAAAAAAAAAAAAAGGCTGGGCTTGCTATTAAATAGGAATGTAAGAAAAACCCACACTAGCATTCTGACCCAGAAACCTAGAAAGGCAACTTATTTGGGAGCTTCACTGAAGTGTGTTTCCACCATATATTTTGGTCTTCTTCATCTCACCACACAGGAGCATTTGACTGAGCTAGAGGGGAATCTTGGGTTTGAATGCACAAAGACTGAAAATCCACAGCAAGTATTAAGTTCTAAGAACAGAATTATATTTAGGAACAGGCTCCTTTCATTCCCATTAGTATAGAATAGACTTATTATACATTTAAGCTCACTATAGGAGAGAAAAAAAATGTTGAGTCTGCAGTTACCTCCATGCTCAGCGAATTTTGGGTTAGAGAGGATCATCTTGCAGAACTTGAGTCCATTTTTGTACTGTTTTTGTTCATAACATTTCTGGAAAAAAAGGTGAAATATGATCACTGAAATGCATTTACAAAAAGAGTACCTTAACACATTATCACAAATGCAGCAGTTCTTTCAGTAGCGTCTGGAAATAAGATCATCAAGCAGCTCTAGCTGAACATGACTATTCATATTACATTGCCTTTTTACAGCATTCAGAATGGTATCTGCCTTCATTTTACATACAGCCAATGCCTCACTGTCTCCTTTTATAAAAATCAAGTAATTCATTTTCCAAAGAAATAGGAAAGGCAAGTAAGAGTATCTGCTTTGATCCAGAAAATTTTAAAATAGAGAGCCAAGTTACGAATCTTGACTCAGGAGAACTTCTGAGAAGAGTTAGCCTTAAAGAGTTGATACACTGCTTTCAATATCTCATTTCCCTGGCTTAGTGACCTCCCTTACTAAGAAATCTCAGACAGAAGATTTTCCTTGTTGCTGGTGTAGATTTTTGTGAGGAAGAGAGAAAGCATGAAGTAGGATCGACCTATTGTAACCTCAAAAATCTACATACAGATATCCAGGGAGAATGCACCCAGGTATTTAAAAAAAAAATAATTAAAAATCCAATTTCCAGCTGGAATAGTACAGCTAAGGGCTACTCTTAGATTTATTTAGGGTACCATTTACCTAATCACTAGGGTAAACTAGCAGCAAATGCAGCTCAACTGTAGGAACACAAGGAAAAAAAAAACAAACACATGAACCTGAATCTCTTTTCTTCTGTCAAAAGATATTACCTGATGTTACTAAGTCAGTAAGGTCTTATTAATTTGATTACTGAATACAATGCAGTTGACCACCTTAAAATAAATTTACTTAAGCCAGTTAAAGGCATGCCTGTGTCACTATGTATGAAAATGATTTAAGGTCATTTAGCTTCTCAACTTGAAGAAAAAAACAAACAAACAAAGCTTAACTTGGCACCATTTTCAGTTAATAAAGTGTATTGTCCTGCTGTAACTTAGACAGCTATTCTCAGGAGAAACTGTGTCACTTCAGTTACGTGCCCGAGTACGTTAACTGTCTCTCATAGAGCACTCCCACTCCATTAATCTTCCAGGAGAGAGGTAGAGTGTAGCAACTCCTTTGCAGTCATAACACATCATCAGATTGCTTCCCAGGGTACAAGCAATAGAGAAACATGCATTGGCTCACACCTGAGTAATTGGTTGAGGTGCCAAAACAAAGGTCCTCCTCCAGTTTGTGGGAAAGACCTTAGCTGCAGACAGTTTTTAAGTCTTTTCTGTCTGAAACTTGAGACACCTCCAGTTAACCATGATTAAGTGGAGACCAAATAATGGAATAATTTCAGTCAGCAGTAACCTTTGGACATCACCTAAATCACCCCTCAAAACAAAGGGGAACTAACCTTGATATCAGATCAGGTTGCTCTGCCTGGCTGACTTCTGGCAGGATGGCTAGGGAGTTCCCATTAGAGGCAAATAGTTACATCAATTAACTTTTAAACAACAGCAACAAAAAGGCTTGGAGAATTTTAAACTGACAATTGGTTTCCACATTTTCATCTGAAATAACCCAGGTTGAAGCAAAACTTGGGAGTCCCCTCTAGGAGAAGGTCTAACTCTCCCATTCAACTCTTTTTATTTCCTTAACATAAAATGCATAATATTGTTTTTAAAGAATCATAAGAAAATACCAACAATGCTCCAAGTATCCTTTCTAAATTTATTCAGGCATGCCTAAAAAAAAATAACACAATAGTGAACATTCATCCACGATTCTACAACTCTTGCAATGTTAAGTGAAACCCCAAATCCACAGCAATACTTAAGCACAGAACAGAAGCTATTTGAGTCAAGTGTGAACTTAAAATATATTAACTACTTGAAGTCCTATGTATTATCCTTGTTCTGACATTTTTATCCTATAGAGTTCAGTCTTAGGACTGGAGTAAGAACTGAACTTAGATTATTATAGACAAATTTGAGATTTTTGGACAACAAACAAGATCAGATTTTCCAAAGGGCAACAGATGGATGGAAGAGGGAAGGTAATACTCTCTACTGAAAGAGAAACAGAAGTTAAACATTCACAGTTGTCTGGCTTGCAGAGAGACCACCAGCATATTTCCACTTGCATATGAACAGGTTAGCTCAAAACAAGACACAAGCCACAGCAGTTCTTGGCCACCTGCTAGTTTCAAGCCAGACAGACAGCTCTTAAACTTGTGTGTCCAAACACTGAATGATCACACCATGCTCCACCTGTATCTTGTTTACAGGAGACATATACCATCTCATTTTGTAGTACAGATGGAAATGTCATAGTTGAGAAACTTGATGTCTCTGTATGTATTCTCAGATTTTGTACTAATCAAGATAAATATCACTGAAATGCCTTAATTAGGAGGTCATAAATCATAGAATGCCAGTTTGGAAGGGACTTCAAGGATCATCTGGTCCCATCGCATTTAATCTTCAGTATATTAAAAGCTCAAGCTAATATGCTGGGTTGGTTTTTTTGTTTGTTGGTTTGTTGGTTTTTTTTAATGGCCTTATCTGTTGCTCTTTTTGTGAGGTTCCCCATCACCCTTTCATAGCAATCATTTCCTGCTAAAACTAAAGCCAAATCATGAATCTCTACATGCTTGAAACCTCAAAGGAAGATTTTGGCAAGGCCAAAATGTTACCCAGACTTCTGCTACCAGATGTTCCAGGAAGGATGTTACCTTCTCTAGCAAACATCTCATACTGGCTTATTCCCTTTTTCAGCATTAACTCAAAGATATAATCTACTTGTATATTTTTGCCATACAATTAAGCTAGACATTTTCTGCACTTTCAGATAGGTATCAGGTGCCTCTACATAGGTCAAATAGGCACAGCATCTAGGAAGTTACTATAACTGTAAAGGTTAAGAATACTGGTAACAAGGCTACAGCAAAGAGCAAGAGTAGACTAATCCTCTATGACAGTGCTTTGTTATTTCTACTTATGGAACTGCCATTCACAAATTCTAATTTATTTTTCTTGTGTCATGCTATAATTTTTTAAACAGATAAAACCCCCTTCTGCTACTAAATATCAACAGAATCAGGGATCTGAATGGTTAACTTCATAAAACAGTGTTATTTCACGTATCACTAATCACTCACATGTAAATTATATTCAAGTATTTGCAACATCAGGTTAGTAAAGGGATACTTTTACAGACTACCTCCTTAAAGTATTTGCCGCTCAAAAAAGGTCTTGTATTGAGAGAATAGCTACATTTTTCACACACTGAAAATAGAGTTTAATACACAGATTGGCAATTTTATAGCTAAAGAATATTTCATTATGGCTCCCAGATATTAACACTCCTGTCTTAAGAAAAAAGAATCTCAACTACTTACTGAGACAGACTGCAGTTGCAGCAACCAATTCCCTTCCTCAGTCTCCGTCCCTAATGCCTCCAAGTGTACTGAAGTCACACAATGTTGTTTCATAAACCATTTTCATATGAAAGATGAATAAAATGTATTACATTCAAAGAATAAGGGGAGGTATCACATCAAACCAGTAACAGTGTTAAGCACAGCAACTAGGCTGTATTGATCAACTTAACTCTTCTAATAGTTTAAAGATGTTTAAAGTTGTTTAAGGGTGTATGTGGCTGTAACAAAGCCATAGCTAACAAGTTCAATCTGGATGAGACACACTGACCAGTCTCACAGTGAGCATAAACAATTTTCTTAAAGAACAACACTGCAACTTGAAAGTTGGTTTTGCCATCTCTTGACAACATCTCGTGAAACACTAAATTCAGACTACTGCCAGCAATTTAACACTATTCTCAGATCCCACCTGTGTAGCCCACATCCTATTAATACAGGTCTGCACATCAATGTGCAGCCCTGCCAGAAACATGCTGGACCATAATAAGCATGCCACCAATAATAAGCATTTCAGCAAAGTAGCTAAAAAAACTGGCTTCAAGCTTTATTAGAAAAACATAATTTAAGTTGTAGTGTTCCCTGCTACTGTACTTCCATATAATCCTGCTTGCAGACCTCTCACCTCTTGACAAAACTTTAACACTTAGAATTAATCTAAACAAGATTTTCATCTTAGATTCTCAGTGCTTACATCTTCATTTTTTAAAACTATGTCTGCTGTGTAGCACTGACAGGGGGGACCAGATATGGAAAGAATCCAAGGGCTAAATGTGGAACATTAGAGCCTAGAAAAAGACAACGCTTACCAACCAAGCCCTACAGCAAGAATGCTGGCAGTCAGTGTGCAGGATATCTGTCCAAGCCACAATGGTGACCAAGTTCTGTAACAAAAAAAACCCTCAAAGTTATCACTGACTGTGATTCCGGGCAGCAACTCTTCCAGGAGCTATGCGATAAATATTTAGAGGCTGTTCAGATTATTAATATACATTCTAACCAAAACCAGACACAAACAATAACGGAACACCAACATACTGCTGGTATTCCTAACTGGCATTTAACACTTGGACCTCTTCAAAAGCCTTCCTTACTTTATTGCATCTTCATTTAAAATACAACCTATATTTCTCAGAATAGTTGATGAACCTTAGATTTTAGGCAGGAACGCCTCTTTTAAAGGCAGAAGCTTGTTATTAAAAAGCTTGCCTTTAACCAAGACCTTGTCTAATTCTGCACTGTGCACATGTCCAATACAACTTCAATCCTTAGAATATCCCTTACTTTGAAGGGGTAGAAACAAGAGAACATGCAGTAGAAAGAGCTCTTGCTTACAAGTACTTAGCAGCTGTAACTTCCTCACTATTTGTATAAGTTCTCTACTGTGTATGAACCTGTATATGCCTGCACAAAGCAGAAACAGTAGCAGCAACACCAGAAATTAGACAACTCATAGCCCCATCATACATTTTCAAGTAGTTTTGAATCCACACTTTGTGTAGAAGTACTGAAGAGACCACTCTGCCACATCTCCTGGGATCAAACTGTAATTTGCCTAGGAAGATCTGAGACTGAGCAGGTGCTCCACAAGCT